AGGGAGGAACAGGGAGGAGGAGCACACGCCAGAAGCTAGAAACCAACATGAGCGGATGCCCCCGCAGGACGTGTGAAAGGCCACCCGCCGGATGCCCATGCGGAAGGCCCGCGTGCCCCGCCACACACAGGCCGAGCACTGGCAAGACACGCGAACACACGTGCACCCAGCAGTCGCCCAACCCCGCCGCGTCGTGCGTAGCCGGCTTCCTGGTCGAGGCACGGTCACACGAACGCTGATCGAGAGCGCGAGCCAACGCGCCGGAGGCCGAGGGCCCGACAGCGGGGCTGGAGGGAGAGGGAGAGGGTTGAAGAAGCGAGCTGAGGAGATCGTGGAGGGAATGGTGCGGAAAAGGGGTCGGGGAGGTAAGGAGAGCTAAACGGAACGAGGATGGAAGCAGGAGGAGCAGGAGGAGAAGAAGAAGCAAGAGGAGGAGGAGGAGGAGGAGGAGGAGGAGCAAGAGGAGGAGGAGGACGAGGAGAGAGAGGAAGAGGAGGAGGAGGAGGAGGAGGAGGAGGAGGAGGGAGGCAACAGGAAACCAGAAGCGCACGTGGGTGGACGTCCAGAGCATATGGAGGCCACTGGCTGGATGCACGCGTGCGGGGAGCCGGCGCGCCCCGCCACACGAGGCGCGAGGGCCGCTCGCTGGAACGCACAGATTCGGCCAGTACTGGGCAGCCGGAGGCGGAGGCGAAGGCGCCAAGAAGACTGGCAGGGACCAGAGGGCGCCGAGGCGAAGCGCGCGACAGGGCTGGACCTAAACGTTGTTTTTCGTTTTGGCCTCGTTCTGTTGTTGTTTTGCTCTACCTGTTTTCCTGTGCCTCCCTGCCAGACTGAAAAACAAAACACAGCCGAAGAGCAGCAAAACAGCGTTTAGGTCCAGCCCTGGCGCGCCACAGCATGCCTGTAAGCACCATGGCACGCCCATCAGCACCACAGCATGCTTGTGAACACCGCAACATGCATGCATGGCTGGCCTCCCCCCCCGTACGCTCGTTGCCATTACAGAGGGGGGATGCGACCAGCAGTCTTCCATGGGCTCGCCGAAAAAAAGCAAACAGCTCCCCCTCCTGCTCCTACTCCACATCTACAGTGCCCTCGGCATCCCTCGGCATGATACGAAATCCCCCCTTCCCGATTGCACTGAAACGTGGGGTCGAGTCCTGCATCTGTCTGCCACTCGGCGGATCGAAAAGCAAACCACGCAGTGGAATGGGATGGGCGGAAGACGCGCAGGCGCGCACAAATTATCACTCCCCGCTCCCCATCCACACGCTCGGCAGAGAGGTAGCGGGTACCGCCCGTGCCTGCATCCAGGCCGGGAAGCCAAGTCTCCTGAAGGCGCCAGGGGCGGAGGAGGGCACGCGAGGAAGGGATAGGAGTGCTGAAGAGAAAAGAGGGGAGGGTCTTGGGCTTAGAGATGTGTGTCATGTTTGTGTACGGGTAAGCATCAGTTGGAATGCGCCCACTGATCTATATATATATATATATATATATGTATACATCTACATCTATACACATGTGTATAAATACATATATACATAGATATCGGCATGTACACACAGAGACAGCTCGATATACATATGCCTATGATGTTTGCGGTAATCGAACTCCCACCCTAGTAATCCGCATTCGGACCTCCGGGATCCCAGGGCCCCCAAGACCTCTGGGCACCACTGCAAAGAGCTTCCTCTGTTCTGGGCCTCCTAGACGTCCCTGGCGGGCTTCGGAAACTGACCCCAAACATTCCGAAAGTCAACCAAACGGCCCCATAAGAACCTCAATTGCCGTCATAAACCCTCGAGACGCCCCAAGACTACTCAAAGAAAACCACTACGAGCCCCCCCCGAAACAAACAAACACACACACACACACACAACATCATCGTCCTACAGTCGTCGTAGGACGGGGATGCCCGCTTCTTCGGGCTTCGGAGCGCCCGAAAACAACAACGAGGCCACCAAGATGAGCCAACACGTCTTCAAGACGGCCCAGAGGAGCCCAAAGACGGCTCATCGCCGCTCATGCCACACCGCCAACCCAAACTGCGAGCATACATCGGGCGTGGCCCGGTATGGCCTGGCAGGGGTGTGTGCCGCATACGTTGCGCGCCAAGGGCTGCGCGATCCATGATCTGCACCATAGGCCACCTCATCCGTGGGTTACGCCACACATTGCGCTGTCCTTGAGATGCGCCATGGGTCGCGCGATCCATAGAATGCGCCATCCACGGGTTCCGCCACAGCTTGCGCTATCCAGGGGTTGCGCCATGCTCCCTCCATGGGTTGCGCAATGAGCTGCGCTCTCGGCGGCCGGGAGTAAAACGGCCTGCTATTGCGCACTCGGCGGCCGATGGCGAAACGGCCAGCTTTGGTTGCGCAAGAGGTTGCGAACTCCACGGCTGAGAATAACACGGCCTGCTACTGATTGCGCCACAAGATGCGCACTCGGCGGCCGATATAACAGTGGCATGCGGTCGATACTGAAGTGGCCTGATATTCGCTGCACCATGCGCTACTGGCGGCCAGGAATTAGACGGCCTGCTATTCGTTGCGCCACAGGCAGCGCAAACGGCGGTCGAAAACAACAATGCCTGCGAATGGCTGCGCCATAAGATGCGCACTCAGCGGCCGATTGAAATGACGGCACGGTGTCGGTTGCGCCATCGTTTGCGCATTCGGCGGCTGAATATAAGACGGCCGCCCATCGGGTGCGACCAGTCAGTCAGTCAGTCAGTCAGTCCAGCGCACCTCGAGAAAAACAAGTTCGGGTCACGCCTTAAAAGCCTGAGGAGGACGTGGAATAGTTCACAGGGACGGGCGAGAACGAGGAAGAAGGATAAGAGGGAACAGTAGGAAAGGGAGACGAAGGCAAAAGCAGAAGAACACGAAAAGACCGAAATCGGGAGCCATAATATGCAATACGCTGGTTCTCTCTATCTCTCTCTCTCCGCCACCGTGCCTTCAGCACGAAATGGAGTGCCCCAAAAGCTCACGCAGCCCTGAAAGCTAAATTCCCCAATCAGTGCTTGCAATGAAGGGTCCTAACGGATGTTGAAAGATTTGGCGCAAATTTCCCGCCGGACTCCCGGGTTCCCGGTTCTGGGTTCCTAGGTTCCTGCAGCTTTTGGTCCCGGGCCGATTGCGGTGGGTTCCGGGTTCCCGGGCTCCCGGGCTCCCGGTCGATCTCCTGATAGATCTCTTCATCGATCCCACCATTCATCAAACTATCCACTGATTGGGTTGTTTTCGGCGGTGGACAAACCTCCCTTTAGTGAACCACCCTTCAGTGAAAACGGCCTGGGACCGAAACGGACCTGGACCCGCAAGAACGACGGCCGCGACGCCCTCTCGCGAACCGAAAACGGCCCACTCACCAATCGACGTGTCAGGGCAGGAGGTCCATCCACCTCCGGTTTCTCACTGGTGCTGTGCTCTCTATATAAAGCTCTGCAGGGGCCCAGACCCCCGGTGTCCCATGCCTTCCGCAGGGAGCCGCCGCACGCTCCACGCTCCCACGGGGCGCGTCGCGCGGGCCTCCGGGGCGGCCGCCCCGCCCATGGAGGGCCCTGCAGCGGAGCGGGCCTCAGAGATGGCCCCCAGGCGGCCCCCCAGAAGGTCCAAGAGGAGTCCTCGAGCCGCCCCCAAGATCGCTCCCAGACGCTGGCGCCCCCCAAATCACCCCATGACAATCCATGGGGCCCCCAGCAGGGCCGCAAGACGGCCCCAGAGGGCCCCAAGACGGCCCCAGAGGCACCCCAACACAGCCCAAGAGGCGCCCAAGAGGTGCCCCAAGGGGGGAACACGAACTGAGATCTCGAGCTCCCGCGCCCCACGGGGCCCCCGAGACCGCCAGCAGACGCCCAATGTGGCTCCGAGAGGAACCCAGACGCCTTCAAGAAACCCAAGGTCGGCTCCAAGAGGCGCCGTTTCTGGCCCAGTACGCCCCAGGAGGCTCTCTCCTTAGAGGCCTCCGAACAACAAGAAGCCTCCAAGAGGCATCGAGGATGCACCCAGGATGCGGTGAGTTCCGCCGGATATCTCGACAATGTTTGATCGTTGCTTTCATTGCGTTTCTCTGCAGTTCTCCGTCGTCATGTATATTATGTTTGGGCGCATTCCTGTACTCCTCCTCTAAATCCCAACAGCACGTCGCGACGCAACGTAATGCCACCCACCATCCAACAGACGTTGTCCATACCGAAGCCTCCAGCCCATTTCGCATATAACATCAAATTCCAGCGGCGTCCACCGAAGTGGCGAGCACTGGCGTCCGTGCGAAGCAACCGCAGCGCAGGCACGGTGACGGGATAGACGAAGGCCACGGCACATGTGTATATATATATATATACATAGGTGTAGAAAAAGAGGTCGAGAAAGTAACGACATATATACATGTATACACATATATGTATACACATATATATATATATACATACATGCATGCATGCATGCATGCACACATACAGACATACATACATACGAACATATAGAGGTATGTATGTATATATATATATGTACACTTCCCAAACAGCGTTTGCACTTGGGGGTTTCTACTTGTCCTTTCACGGAATTGAACCTGTTTGGCGGTCTGGCGGTCTGGCGGCTCCGTGGTCGCCGTCGCCGCTTCGTCGCCACTTCGTCGCCGCCTCGTCGTCTCGGTTTGGTTGGCGGTCTGGCGTCTCCGTGATCGCCGTCGCCGCCACGCCGCCGCCTCGTCGCCATCGTCTGGGTTTGGTTCGCGGTCTAGGGGCTCCGTCGTCGCCGTCGCCGCCCCGCCGCCACAACCTAGATTGCACACAGACTGCACCACATACATCACAAAGATTGTACAAGATCGATTGCACAACATATATTCTCCTCTTAGAAATAACTCGACCCCATCCCCCGAGATTATCCGTTTCTTTTTCTCACATTGCAATTTGCATACGGTTCTGCCCCATAGTCCATCCTTGGTATGCATTCATACCAGCCCAGTCGAGCCGGTATCGCCCCACCCCCCGCCATCACTTGGAAAATAAACTATGCGCGCGCACTCGTTTATAAAAATTAGCATGTTTGATGTTTTCAAACAGATTGCAGAACAATGATGAAACATGCGCACGCTCGCGTCGTCGCGCACGCATGCCGAAATCCTTGAAAAAGCATTCGGCCTCGTAAGGATGTCAGAATCGAGAGTCCAAAACTTTCTTATGTAATACTAGATTTTGGAATGATGCATATACAAACAAACTGCTTAGCAACACGGATTTGCAAAACAAATCTGAGACAACCATTGGTGCTTCTACATCTTCATACAATTCCAACGAAAGGGCTTCGCGAGCGCGCATGTCGAAATCGTTCGAACGCCCTTGCGCGCGTGTTGTCGCGAGAATCCTTTTGCAAAAAAACGGGACGAAGTGCATGCGCGCGCGTCGTCGCGCGCGCACGCCGAAAACAATCAAAAACCGTTGGTTTCGCAAGGATTTCAAAATCGAGTGTCAAACAAACTTATGGAAAAAAACACATGGTTTCGCAACACATCAGTTTTCATACAAACGCGCGGTCGCGCTCTTGCAATTTTATTGAGTTGCCATTGGTGGTTCAACATCTTTATGGAAATCTGCCACACGCGCCTCTCGCGCCGCATGCAGAGGTCATTCGCACGCCCGTGCGCGCATGCTGGGGGGGGAGGCAAGTTCCGTGTCAAATCATACCATGCGGGCCACTCTCGCGCGTCGGCCGCGCGCGCATGTCGAACACTTCCCAAAACCTCCATCACGCTCGCGTCGTCGCGCACGCATGCCGAAATCCTTGAAAAAGCCTTCGGCCTCGTAAGGATGTCAAAATCGAGAGTCCAGAACGTTCTGGTTATATCATACTAGATTTTGGAATTAGCAACACGGATTTGAAAAACAAATCTGAGACAACCATTGGTACTTTCAGCATCTTCATACACTTCTAACGAAAAGGGCTTCGCGAGCGCGCATGTCGAAATCGTTCGAACGCCCTTGCGCGCGTGCTGTCGCGAGAATCCTTTTGCAAAAAACGGGACGAAGTGCACGCGCGCGCGTCGTCGCGCGCGCACGCCGAAATCAGTCAAAAACCGTTGGTTTCGCAAGGATTTCAAAATCGAATGTCAAAAAAACGCATGAACAACAAAAAACACATGGTTTCGCAACACATCAGTTTTCAAACAAGCGTGCGGTCGCGCTCTTGCAATTTTGTTGAGTTGCCATTGGTGGTTCAACATCTTTATGGAAATCTGCCACACGCGCCTCTCGCGCCGCATGCAGATGTCATTCGCACGCCCTTGCGCGCATGCTGGAGGGGGCAAGTTCCGTGTCAAATCATACCATGCGGGCCACTCTCGCGCGTCGGCCGCACGCGCATGTCGAACACTTCCCAAAACCTCCATCACAGACGCGAGGACGCTGGCATCGTCGTCGGCGTGATCAACATCGGCACCGCCACTGGCCGCGCCGACGTCGATGCCTACTACTGTCGTGTCTACGTTGTCGACGTCGCCATGATACCGCGCACGCTCCAGAACGATTCATCCCTGCCCTGGCCCCGCCCGATGAGTGTTGGCGGCATCCGCGAGGGGTAGGGGGAGGGGGAAGGCTTCTTACAAGGAGGGGTGCTTCTAAGAAGGCCCTCCCCCTCCGTGAGATCCGACGTTGCAACAAAAAATGCAACATCGAAAAAAATCACGACCGGACCCCTGGACCCCACCACGCTGTATCATTTTTCGAGCCGGATCGATCTGTGAGGCTCCCGGAGCCCGAAATGGAGCGAACACGCAAGACTCGAACAAAAACTTAGTCGATAGGATCTCAGGGCTCCCCCTGCCCCCCTCTGCGCGTGGCCGACGATGAGTGCACCCACCCCCCGCCACCAAAGATCTGTTCTGCACTGGAGAGGGCCTGCTGACATTCCGCGCCAGCACTTCCAACGCATATCACGCAGGCGGGGGCACGAGCTCTCCCCCCTTCGGCGCGCTCGAGGGGGTGTCGGGGCGGCCTCGTGCGGAGGCAGGCGTCTCCCTGAAGAAGAGCTCGGAGGCTTCCAATCGGGCGTTGCTTCATGGGGGTGGGGGGGGCGACAAGTGTGGGGGCGGGGAGAAACGTGCGCCTTTCGTGCCCCTGTTGGGCCCCAGGGAGGCCCATTTGGGGCCCCTTCGGGGCACGAAAGGTGCACCCCTGGCTTCACCCCTCATGCATCGCCCCCCCCCCCCGCCCCCCACCGCCCCCCCCCACTCACACACACACACACACACACACACACACACACTACGCAACGCCCGACCAGAGGCAGCTTCTTCGAAGCCGGGGGGAGCATTTCCCCCCTTGCGCCACCCGGTTGCGTGTGCACCGCCAACTCTCACGCTGCCCCGAGCGGCTCGCAGGGCCTCTCCCCGAACCGACCGCGGGCCCCGACCTCGAGAGGCCACGCCGAGCGAGGAGAGTCGCGCGGAGCCCCGTCCATCCCCGCTGCACCCTCTCCCCTCGGCTACACGCAAGAGTGACCCTGGGTAAGAGTGACCTCTGGTGCGCGGCTTTTTGGGGGCCGCGGGAGGACTAAACACAAGGGCGCGAGACGCTGCTGCCTTCGCGCGCTCCGCGATCGGGGAGCCCCAGTGGGCCCGCACCAAAGGTCACTCCGGCGAAGGGTCACTTGCACGTGCAGTCAGTCCCCCTCCTAGCGCGAACGACGCACTAGCCCGGGTCAGCAGCTCCAATCGGGCTGGGCGAAAGGGGGGGATAGCAAAGGGGGGGTGAGAATCAGCTCACGTTGCTGATTTTCCCGGAGGCGGCCATGTATCGAGGAATGGGCCCCTCGGTGGGGCCGAAACCAGCTGCATGCAGCAGATTTCGTAACCTCTCCGTTCCCTATCCCCCCCCCTTCGTCCGGCCAAGCCTGGGTCGGCCAGAGGGGCCCTGTATGGCGAAGCCCACCAGGCCGCTTTTAAAGCAGCTCCCAGAGAGCTGGGCACGCGGCGGGCACCGAAGGGGGGGAAGCGGGAGCACGCGGCTCCCAAACCCGGGTCAGCCAGAGGGGGTTGGCCGACCCCCGTTGCGTGAGCCCCGCGGTCTGGTCAAGAGTGACCCTGGGTAAGAGTGACCTTTGGTGCGCGGCTCTTTGGGGGCCGCGGGGGGACCAAACACGAGCGCGCAAGAAGACGCTACACCCGCATCCCGTTCGGCGATCGGGGGACCCTATGGGCTCGCACCAAAGGTCACTCCGGCGAAGGTTCACTCTGACGTTTAGTCGATCTGAGCGTGTCTGGGTCGGGGATCTTCTGACCCGGGTCAATCCAGACCCGGGTCAGCAGGAAACCAAAAAACTGCAATGCAGGGAACAAAAAAAAAAAATGCGACGCAGGTCTTCGCAGACCCGGGTCAGCCACTGTGCGCGGCCGGCTCGCTGACCTGGGTCAGCCAGAGGGGGTCTTCGAAGGATCCTGCAGGATCCGGTGCCCTGGCTGACCCCCGTTTGCATTGACCCCCGTCTCGAGGCTCACGAACTGGGCAAGGACCGACCGCCCCGGCATTCCTATAAGCCTACCACGATACGCCTTAAAAGCCAAAGGGATGTTCGAATCACAAAAAACAGATTTCCCAGAACAGATAACGATCGATTGAAACAAGATTGCCCCAGCCAGAATGCTCTGAGGATAGATCGTGCAAACACCAAAAAAGGTTCTTACGACACCCTCTGGCAGGCCTGCGGGACGCTTCGCCACCGCTTGAGAGGTCAGGCCCAGGACCCGAGTCGGCCAAGGCCCTGTGGCGAGGCCCGGCCGGGCGCTCAGCAGCTCCCAAACCCGAGTCCGCGGAAAAAGATGGGCCGGCCCCCGTCACGTGAGCTCCACGTGGTCCCCAAACTCGGGCCAGCCAGAGCTCGCCATCGCTCGGACGCCCATTCCCTGTGCATTTGGTCTCGTGCGTGCATCGTTTCGCAAGGTGCACAGAAATGCTCCTCGAGGGTCCTTGCCGAGAAAAATGCACACGTCCGCGTGATGCCACGAGAGGGGATTGGCTGACCCCCGTTGCGTGGGCGACTTCGGAAGCGCTGAACCAAAAAACGTTTTCATCTCTTGGGGCGGCAGCGTTTGCTTCCGCCGCCTTCCGCCAGCCATCCTCCGGCGGGGGCGGCCTCAGCTTCCTTCCGCGGACCCTCCGCCGCCCTCTCGCCGCCTCCCGCCGAGGCAGAGATGACAGCTCCTCGTGTCCTCGAAGGCGAGGCCCTGTCTTCGGCGGTGGGCAAAACTCCCTTTAGTTAACCTTCCTTTAGTGAAAACGGCCTAAGACCGAAACCGACGGACCTGGACCCGCAAAAATGACGGCCGCGACGCCCTCTCGCGAACCGGAAACGACCAATTCGCTAATCGACGTGTCAGGGTAGGAGGTCTGTCCACCCCCGATTTCTGGAACGCCCCACGCGAGCCCCGAGGTCCGGCCCGGGACCCACTCGGGGGCGGCCAAGAGGGGGCTGTCCAAGAGGGGGGTGTGCAAATCATGACCGGCGGCATGTGCGTGGCCCAGGGGGTTGGCCAGGGACGCACGTAATGACATAAGAAGAGGCGCCATAAAACCTGGGGAACTACCATGGCCCCCGCCCGCCCCCGACCCACGTGAGCTCGTAGAGGCCTCCTAGATGGGGTCGGAGTAGGTGGGGACGGAGGATCGCGCCACATCGCCGGTACATCGCCCGTGCATCGGCGATGCATCGGCGATGCATCGGCGATGCACGGGCGAAGTATCGGCGACGTGGGCGATGAATCGGCGACGTGACGTGAAGCAAATCGGGCTCTGCATCGAGCCGCATCGGCGATGCATCGGCGATGCGGTGCGATCCTCCGACCCCATCTACTCCGACCCTATCTAGGAGGCTCAGAGCCCCAACCCAACGGGCGCCGCCCTCCTCCTGGATGCGCACGGGCGTCTTCTGCTGCCAGGGGCTGGCCGCGCGCAGCAGCGTCATCACGTGGGGCGAGAACCCGTCGCTGCCCAGGCGGCCTCTCCAAACTCGCCATCGCTCGGACGTCCATTTCCCGTGCATTTTTCGGTTTCGTGCGTGTTTTTTTTGCTCGACGGTCCAGGATGGTCCTGGATGGTCCTCGCCGAGAAAAAATGCACACGTCCGAGCGATGCCAGGCAAAGGGCGCGCGGCGTGCGGCGCGGGCGGCGTGCGGCGCGCGGCGGCCGAGAGGCGGGGACTCCGAGGCCCAGGGAGGCTCCTCGAGCCTCGGCCCCCGATCTCCTCGGGCCCCGGCCCTCGGAGGCTCCCGAGGCCCGAGGGGGGAGGCTCTGCCTCTCTGGATCCGAGGATCGAAGATCGAGGAAGGAGGGTGGGGTTCGAGCTCTGGGGTTTCGAGGACCGAGCTTCGAGCCTCGAGGATCGAGGATGACTTTTCTGCTCAGCGGACCGGCCGAGTCGCCTCCAGCGCCTCTCGGATCCGTGCCTCCGTGGGGCCGGCCAGGGAGGCGACCTCCTCGGCTGCCAGGAACAGCTTCACGGTGGGCAGGGCAGAGATGCGGTACCGCTCGGCCAGCGCCTCCACCGCGTCCACGTCCACGGTGGCAAACACGGCGGATCCGCCCTCTTGGGGGAACCAGCGACGACATTAGCCAAACTCGGAGGTCCGCGCGGATGTCTCGGATCGGCGCTGGGCCCCTCTCACCGCCGGGCGGGGCGCGCCAGGGGCGGCGCCAGAGGCGCCGCCAGGGGGCCCAGCGCCGATCCCGGGAATCCGCGCGGACCGCTTCAGGTTTCTGCTTGTGCCTGTTCACTCTTTCGCTCGACCTCTGCGCTCAGCCTCGCGAGGAGGGGGTCGAGCTCCCGGCAGGGGGCGCACCACTCCGCCCCAAACTTCGCCACCACCGCCTGCCCCGCCCGGCCCGCCCTCGCCAGGAGGCCGTCCCAGTGCGCCTCCGAGCGCAGTGCCACGACCGCGCCTGCGTCCGACTGCGCTCCCGGCTGGTCCCCCTGCGGAGCAGCGTGTCGCCGATCCCCGTCCCCACCGGCGTGGCCTGGCCCCCCCCCCTGGAGGGGGATCTAAGTATGGACTGCTCCTTCTGGGCGTCGAGGGGCACGCCCCCGACTTGGGCGGTGGGATGCCCCGCGGCAACTCACGGGCGCCTCCCGTACCTCATCTTGCCGGCTCTTGCGACACTCGTCGACGCTAGTCGACGCCAAGTCGACGCTGATCGACGCTGAATCGACGCTAACCGATGCTACATCGGCACTACCTGACACTAGTCGACGCTAAATCGGTACTATCTCATCGATTCCCAGACGCCGATCGACGTGAACGCACTCTAAAGACATAGTGACGACAGTACAGAAGGCTCCCATGACCTGCTACCAAAGAGGTTGTAGGGATCGGGATGGGGATGGTAATGCGGAGCGGGATCGGTTACACGATACTAGACCTGCTGCTGCTTGCTTCTGCGGCACTGCTTCCGCGACCTCCAGCGGCTCCCCGGCGCCACCGCCGTGCGGTGCGAGGACAGCTCCGAATCCTTCTCCCGAAGGTAGCTCTCAACGTCGGCCTCCATCAGGGGTCTGATGCACTTCTGCAGGGAGGAGAACAAGTTCGGGAAGAGGTGCTCCTTCGGCATGGGCGCTCGCCCACTACTGTGTATAAGCATGAAACCACAAAAAGTGTAAATCACATGAAAATTCAAAACTCACCAAGGATGCCAACGCACGGCTCCGCAAACCCATCATAATGTACTAGCAGTTTTGGGGGCATGGCCGCCGTGAATGCTGGCGTCGGCCCTCAACGCGGCCAAAAAAACCACACAAAATGAGTCCAAAAGAGGGCGGTCGATTAGTGGACGTATGTCCATCCCAAATACTCCTGACTGGCGAGCAAGCATTTCGTCCTGTACCGCTCCCGTGGGGCTTCAAAGCAAGCAGGACAGTTCTCGTTTATTACAGGCAGGCGTGCCGCATCGGCATACTCATTGCATGACTGCTCGCGGACATTGATCAACGGCCGAATCACGCGCAGATCTCCCTCTGCAACGGTGTAGTTCGCCTTCATTGTCCGTAGGAAACCGTTGTGAAACACGCTCATCACGAAACTCTCGGCCAGGTCGTCCAGGTGCTGTGCCATCGCGAGCACATTGAACGCATTCTTGCGAGCGCACCCGTACAGAACCCCGCGCTTCATGCGCGAGCAGAATGCACATATCGAGTGAACGCTGCGCCGCGGCTTGTGGCCTTCCGAGGCCGGCGGAGATGCGCACCCCTCCGCACCGTAGGCCTGCCGGTGCGGGTTCGGCCTCGAGACCTCGCTGCTGTAGCTGATGTTGAGCCCCCTGGCCTGGCCGATGATGTCCTGCCGCTCGTAGAAGTACGGGATGTCGAGCTTCTTCAGGTAAGGGATGATAGAAGAAGAAAGCCGGCACAAACATGGACGTTCGGAGCTACGCGAGGATTTCTTGGATCGGCGCTGGACCCCCCCTCCCTGGCGCGCTCCTCGCGCCAGGGGCTGCGCCGGTGACGCCG